TCAGTTTTTGGTGTCTGTCTACTTTTCTTATGCTTGAGGACAAGCATGGTTTAGGTGTGGGGGGAATTGATAGGTCGCAATTTATTCATTTATTTTATTATTAATTCCTCCCATTACCTGACTTGATGTGGGTTTATTTGCTGGATTCTAGTCATTTTTAGTATTTTGCAATTATTTCAGGGAGTAGAACGAAAATACGATAACAAGGGCCAAGTTTGACAGAAAAGATGTCCAAGCCACAGAGCTTATTCCAGGGATATTTTTGGCAAAGAGGATATGATGCCCATTTTGGTAATTTCCGCAAAAAAGGACGGACGGAGGGATTCTTCCTCCTGCTGGTGAGCCGCCGCAATAAGAAGGGAGAGCTCTTTGGGGGGGCTGAATTTTTAGCAGAGAATTGTTAGCTTTTGAGCTTGGAGCCTTGGACTTTTCTTTTTGACTTTTCTTAGTTTCTTTGAATCCTGCGCATGGCAGGAACAAGGAAGAATTATTTCCTTTGACTTTTCCTTTAGCTTATTGTAGCTTCTGGCTCCACGCATGTGGGGAGCAAAAATTGATAGCCTGCTTTCTTTGACTTTTCTTTCTGGCATCTTGTGAATGACTTTGCACTACGAATGCTAGCAACAACTACAAAGCTTCAATTGTTACCGCGCTTTTCATTTGTTCTCCAATTGTTCGACGAATTGCAACTCCCCGAAACGCAGGCAATGGCCGCTGCTCTCTCTACAATTTTCCGCGGGCTTAGTTCACCCAATATGAGCTAATCCCCTCATTCTAGTCAAGAAACGACGGATGCTTTGGATCACCTGAAAATTGTGAGATCGATTTAATTTAATCTTTCCCTCTTATTTATTGGTATTCGTGTATTCCCTGATTACTATGCTTATGGTTATTTAATTAATTGATTGTCTTGGATCCGGATGATTAGTTGATTGGGTAATCTATTGTTAATTGGGGTATTAAATCCGTAATTGTTTAATTACCTCAAAATAGTGACACCTGGCACGATTAGATTCGTGTCAGGGGAATACACGGGCTAATCTAAAATAACCCTGGTAGTGCGTTATTTGGTTAGAATAGGGCTCCTCTAATACGTAAGGCAATTGGGGAATTAAATTCTACGGGCGTACTTAGGATTATTCCTCAATTAGAGCAGTGATTAACGGGCGTACCTTGATCACCGACACAGTAAGGAGGGGTTGACTGCCATCGTTTGTTTGGTAGTTATAACCTATTTATTGGTAGATAAGTGGGATTGCTTTGCATCAATGATCAATTAGGTGAACCATTGCTGAAGTTATTTCTTGGCTAGATCTTTAGTTAACATTTCCTTGATTGGAGCGGATTGCCATTTGACTTTTAATTGCCTACTTTATTTTATTTTATTTTTGATTGTTTCCTTATTTTAATTAATTTAGGCCTTTAATTATTGTTATCCTGAGTTCAGTAAATTGTGGTTTAATTCCTAATTAATTATTTATTTTTACTTTCTCATTTGAATTTATTTAATTATCGTCGTTCCTACAAAATCACCCCCTGTGTTACTTTGGATTTCTTAAGAAACAAATATACCCAGTCTCTGTGGATACGACCCTACTTGCCCTGTCTACAAATTCCTAATCATTTGTGAAAAGGAATAACCATTCCATTCGGGTATATCGGATCAAGCAAACTCTTCGGGAACAGGGTGAATCAAGTAACCCATTGCACACCTAGAGTCCCTGCTCCAGTACTTGGAATTGGGTTTTGGTCATTTTAACTGGCAATTAAGTTTAATTTTATTATTGCACAGGCTGACGACCTGTCAATTTTTGGCGCCGTTGCCGGGGACTGGCGTTATTATTTGTTTCTTTTTAAATTCAATTTTGTCCTAATTTTCTGGTTTTCTTCTAATGTATGCCTCGATCTTGTCGCACAGGTGATTTGGTTTTTGATCCTGAGGTAGAGAAGACCGCGCGTAGAACGAGAAAGGAAACCAGACAGCTTAGAGAAGAGCACTCTAGTGCTACATCTCAAAGACCTGAGTCAGAAATTGAACCAACAGATTCGTTTGGTAACACTTCGAGTGACTCTGACCAGGAGGAGTTCACCATGGCTAATGCACAAACATTAAGTGAGTTGGCTGCTCCTGATTTAACTCAGCAGCCGTTATGCATTACTTTCCCCGCTTTAAATGACAACATTCCATTTGAACTAAAATCTGGTCTGATTCAACTTTTACCCTTTTTTCATGTTTTACCAGGTGAGGAGCCGTATAAGCATCTGCAGGAGTTTGATGTCGTTTGCAATAGTATGAAACCCCCGAGAATCACAGAAGAGCAGATAAAAATGAGGGCATTCCCCTTCTCCTTGAAAGATTCTGCGAAGGACTGGATGTACTACCTGTCACCAGGTAGCATTATCACGTGGGACCAATTGAAGAAAAAATTTCTGGATAAATACTTTCCGGCGTCCAGGGCTGCGAGTCTAAGGAAAGAAATTTGTGGGATCAAACAGCATCCCGGGGAGTCACTTTACGAGTATTGGGAACGGTACAAGAGCTTATTGCGCAGGTGCCCCCATCACCAAATAAGTGAGCAGTTGATCATACAATATTTCTATGAGGGGCTCATTTTTAGAGACAGGAGCATCATTGATGCTGCAAGTGGAGGGGCACTGGTGAATAAAACCCCTCAGGAAGCACGGGAGTTAATAGAGGGGATGGCAGAGAATTCACAGCAATTCAGTACAAGAGAGGATGTCCCAATACGTAGGGTGAATGAGATAGAGACACCTTCTGTGCAGCAGCAGCTAAATGAATTGACTGCGTTCGTTAGGCAACAGGCTGTGAGAAATGTATCACAAGCCAGGGTATGCGGGATTTGCACTGGTATAGGTCACTCTGCAGACATGTGCCCAATGATTCAGGAAGAAACTGCGAAACAGGTGAACATGGCTGACCACGCGCCCGCGCCAAAAAAGCAGTACGACCCTTACTCAAGCACCTACAACCCCGGGTGGAGAGATCATCCCAACCTCAGTTATGGTGGGAATAGGCAATCCAACTTCACGCCAAACAGGCAGTCTAACTTTGTGCCAAATAAGCCACCAGGGTACCAGCAGCAATACCAACCCCGACCATCTCCGCCCCCTCAATCTGGTTCATCTACGGATGAGATACTGAAACAAATGATGACAACCATGGCGCAGAATCAGCAAAGGTCGGAGGCAGCTATTATGCAAAATCAGCAAAAGACGGACTCCGAGATGCAGGACATAAGGAATCAGATAGGTCAATTGGCCACCAGAATGAACCGTTTGGAGTCCCAGAACCAAGGGAAGCTGCCATCTCAACCGGAGTTGAATCCGAAGAATGTGAGCGCAATGATCCTAAGGAGTGGGAAAGAAATTCAGGGGCCTGAACCTGTGATTCCCAAGGACAAGAATGAAGAGAAGATCGAAAATGAGCTCGAAAGGGAGGACAGCAATGGTGCAGATCAAAAGGTACTTCCTGACCCAATAATTACAGTTAAAACTAACCCGCCTCCTTTTCCTAGCAGGTTGGAAAAATCAAAGAAACAGGATAAGGAGAAGGAGATCTTGGAGGTTTTTCGCAAGGTTGAGATAAATATCCCCCTCTTAGACGCCATCAAACAAGTACCAAAATATGCCAAGTTCCTAAGGGACTTGTGTGTCAACCGAAGGCGATTGAGGGGAGATGAACGGGTCATAGTTGGGGAAAATGTGTCTGCGGTCCTGCAGAGAAAGCTTCCACCAAAGTGCGGGGACCCAGGTATGTTTACTATTCCCTGTAAGTTAGGTAATACTGTGATCAGAAGGGCCATGTTGGATCTGGGAGCATCAATAAATGTCATGCCTAACTCTATCTATGCTTCTCTAAAATTAGGTCCATTAAAAGAAACTGGAATAATCATTCAATTAGCTGACCGAACTAATGCATATCCTGATGGGTTGGTTGAAGATGTGTTGGTAAAAGTTAATGGTTTGGTGTTTCCAGCTGATTTTTATGTACTTGATATGGATGATGATCACTCCCCTGACCCCTCACCTCTGTTATTGGGTAGACCTTTTATGAGCACAGCGCAGACGAAAATTGATGTTAATAAGGGTATCCTGTCCATGGAGTTTGATGGGAAAATTGTGCATTTTAATATTTTTGATACTATGAAGTACCCCTCGAACTCCAACTTTAGCTCAGTTTTTTCTGTGAGTGCTATTGACCCTGTAGTGCAGGAAATGTTTGAAACTGATGGCAGGGATGAGCTGGAGGTGGCTTTAACCAAGCACCTCGAGTTGGGGACAACTCCTGAGGTGGAGTGGAGCGAGGATTTAAAATGCACAATAGGTGCATTACACTCGTTGCAGACCACCACGAAAAGGTATGAAGTCTTGCCTATTTTTACTCCCGAGCCTCACCAGAGGGTATTGCCATATGTGGTGCAGGCACCTGTATTGGAGTTGAAACCTCTACCAGAGCACCTGAAATATGCATATCTGGGTGATAATGAGACACTCCCGGTGATTATCTCATCGGCACTGTCAAAAACCCAGGAAGAGAAATTGATCCGGGTCCTTAGAGAGTATAAAGAGGCGATAGGTTGGACAATTGCAGACATTAACGGAATCAGCCCGGCCGTCTGCATGCATCGGATTAGACTAGAAGAGGATGCCAAACCTGTACGGCAGGCTCAAAGGAGGCTCAATCCCCTCATGATGGAAGTTGTAAAGAAAGAGATTCTAAAATTGCTAGATGTGGGGATCATCTTTGCAATATCTGATAGCCCTTGGGTGAGTCCGGTTCAGGTAGTCCCAAAGAAGGCAGGAGTGACGGTAGAGGCCAACCAAACGGGGGAGCTCGTGCCAGTGCGCAAACCCACAGGATGGAGGCAGTGTATAGACTACCGTAGGCTGAACGCCGTCACTAAAAAGGACCACTTCCCTCTCCCTTTCATTGACCAAATGGTTGAACGTTTAGCTTGTAGGGCTTATTATTGCTTTTTGGATGGATTTTCAGGATACTTTCAGATAGCAATTGCCCCGGAGGATCAAGAGAAGACAACCTTCACGTGCCCGTTCGGGACCTTTGCCTACAGACGAATGCCATTTGGGTTGTGCAATGCACCTGCGACTTTCCAAAGATGTATGGTAAGCATCTTTTCTGAGTATGTTGAGAAAATAATAGAAGTTTTCATGGATGATTTCAGTGTGTATGGTGATAGCTTTGATACGTGTCTAGATAACCTGAAATTGATCCTGATAAGGTGTATAGAGACTAATCTTGTGCTTAATTGGGAAAAATGTCATTTTATGGTTGAGCACGGGATAGTCCTGGGTCATATTGTGTCGTCTAAGGGCATAGAAGTTGACAAGGCTAAAATAGACATTATTTCTGCATTACCTTACCCCGCGAGTGTGCGGGAGGTGCGCTCTTTTCTTGGACATGCAGGTTTTTATCGAAGGTTCATCAAGGATTTTTCAAAAATTGGAGCCCCGTTGTTCCAACTCCTACAAAAAGATGTAGCCTTCGAGTTTGATGATATGTGTGAGAGAGCCTTTAACAAGCTGAAGGAATTGTTGACTTCACCCCCAATCATCCAACCCCCCGATTGGAATTTGCCATTTGAGATCATGTGCGATGCCAGTGATTATGCTGTTGGGGCTGTACTGGGGCAAAGAGTAGGGAAGGCGGCTCATGTCATCTATTACGCATCCCGAGCCTTGAATGGAGCCCAGTTGAATTATTTCACCACTGAGAAGGAGCTTCTTGCAGTTATTTTTGCTTTGGAAAAATTTAGGTCATACTTGTTAGGTGCTAAAGTGATTGTATTTTCTGATCATGCAGCATTGAGGTACCTGATGACCAAGAAAGATGCAAAACCGAGGCTCATACGGTGGATACTGCTCCTACAGGAATTTGACTTGGAGATAAGGGACAAAAAAGGCTCAGAAAATCTAGTAGCGGACCATTTGAGTCGCATACTAGTTGAAGAGGATAGCGAGCCATTGAAGGATGCATTCCCTGAAGAGCATTTATTTTCCTTAAACTCTCAATTGCCTTGGTATGCTGATTTGGTCAATTATCTAGTAACGGGTGATTTTCCTGCAGGTTGGCAAAAATCGAAGAGGGATAAATTGAAGAGCGATGCCAAGTATTTCATCTGGGACGACCCGTACCTATGGAAGAGGTGTGCAGATCAAGTCATGAGGAGATGTGTAAGTGAAATGGAATTTCAATCAATTCTAGCTTTTTGTCATACTTTTGCCTGTGGAGGTCATTTTGGGCCAAAGAGAACTGCTCATAAGGTTTTGGAAAGTGGATTTTATTGGCCTTCATTATTTAAGGATGCCTATGTGTTTTGTAAGTCATGTGATCGCTGTCAAAGGGTAGGTAATATAGCCCGTAGAGATCAAATGCCCCAGGTCCCGTTGATTTTTGTTGAAATTTTTGATGTCTGGGGTATAGATTTCATGGGGCCTTTTCCTACTTCATTTGGCTTTTTATATATTTTGCTGGCAGTTGATTATGTGTCTAAATGGGTGGAGGCTAAGGCCACTCGAACTAATGATTCGAGAGTAGTTGCAGATTTTATCAGATCTAATATCTTTGTGCGGTTTGGAATGCCTAGAGCTATTGTCAGTGATAGGGGAACGCACTTTTGCAACAAAACCATAGCTGCGTTGTTTCGCAAGTATGGTGTACTCCACAGGGTCTCAACATCATACCACCCTCAGACCAATGGTCAGGCAGAGGTGTCGAATCGGGAGATTAAGTCCATTTTAGAGAAAATGGTGCGCCCTGATAGGAAAGACTGGAGCCAAAGGTTGGAAGATGCACTCTGGGCCTATCGGACGGCGTACAAGACTCCTATAGGGATGTCACCGTACAGGTTAGTATTTGGGAAGCCGTGTCACCTTCCAGTGGAGTTCGAGCACAAGGCTTTTTGGGCGATAAAGCAATGTAATATGAATCTAGAAGAGGCCGGTGTTCAACGGAAGCTGGATTTGCAAGAATTGGAGGAGATCCGGAACGAAGCATACGAAAACGCCTTGATTTATAAGGAGAAAAGCCGAGCATTTCATGACCAACAAATTTCAAGAAAAACATTTGAAGTTGGTCAGAAGGTCCTCCTATACCAATCAAGGCTTAAGTTATTCCCTGGTAAGCTACGTTCCCGTTGGATTGGACCTTTCATTGTTACTCATGTTTTTCCCTATGGTGCAGTTGAGATCCAGAGTGCTAAGACAGACAACAAATTTGTGGTGAATGGACACCGTCTCAAATATTATTACGAAGAATTTTCAGGTAGAGAGGTGGAGACAATAAGGCTTGACGCACCACCGTGTCCTAATCAGTGACACTTTACCATGTCTAGCCAAAGACATTAAAGAAAGGCGCTCATTGGGAGGCAACCTAATTATTTCTTTTAATTGTTTGTTGGTTTTGTAGCATAGTTTAAATCTGCTTTCCCTGAATTTGACTGATTTTGGGTGTTAGTTTTCGTTTTTGCTGATTTGTAGGTGACCTTCAGTCATGACGCGCCCGCGTGATGACGGGCAGGAATCAGAAACTTCCAACTTCTGGGAGCTCTCCTGGCCTCATGACGTGCTCGCGTGGTGATGTGCAGGACGCTCACGATCAGAAAATTCTGAACTTCTGGGAGCTCTCCTGACCTCATGACGTGCCCGCGTGGTGATGTGCAGGACGCTTACGATCAGAAAATTCTGAACTTCTGGGAGCTCTCTTGACCTCTTGACGTGCCCGCGTCACGTTCGCGGGAAAGGTGAGGATTTGAAAAAAATATTTCATTATTATTATTGTTATTATTGTTATTATTATTATGCCTTTCATTAAAAGAAGAAAAAAAGATTATTTTAAAAAAATTTAATATTAATAATAATATGAAAAAAAAAACAAACGATAATAATAATAAGAAGCTGGAAATTTTTTCTCTTAACCATAGCAATTTCAATTTTGAAAAAAAAAAAGGGGGGTTTTCCTCTTTTTCTTTTCTTTCTTTCCTTTCTTTTTCTTTCTCTCTTCTTCTTTTTTCCTCTTTTCTTTCTTTCTTCTCCGCTGTTTTGCTCTGTCCGCCGCTCTGCCCACCGCCATCTCAACTCACGCTCGCCACCCACCTCGCGCTGGGCTCACCAACCGCGCGCCACCAGCCCATCTCCCTCGCGCGCGCAGCCATCTCGCGCCGCACCAAACCACCCGCGTCCGCCGCCAGCAGCCTACGCCGCTTCACCCATAGGCCTGTCCACCACTGCTGCCGACCAGCAGATCTGCATCGCCGCCGCCAACTCCAAGGTCGCGCGCCACCAGCTTGTAGGCAACCCAGCCTACCTCGCGCGCGCCGCCCCAGCAGCCGCAGCTCCACCTCGCCGGCCCACGCGATTTCCGCTCCTGCTTGGCCGCCGCTGCTACATCTCCACCGTCGCCCAAACGATCTCCTCCTCACGCGGCCACAAGCCCACGGGTACGTGCTGCAGCCTCGGTCCAGTCGCGAGCAGCGCACGGTGCAGCCGCCACCTCCCTGCTCTGTCCGCCGCTGATCAGTCCAGCCGCGCGCAGCCACAAGCCCACGGCGCGTGCAGTAGTTTCGGTCCAGCAGCCACGCTCTGCCCACGTACGCAGCCCCCACCACCAGCTTCAACGCCGCTGCTCTGTCTGCCGCCTGGGGTAGTCCCAGTGGAGGTATTTGACACTTGCCCTCAATTTCTCAGTGTTAGCCAGTGATATTTGGTAGCGGCTTGTGCATATTTGGATGATCTTCCACCAGTGGTACTGGTTGGACTATTCTTGCTTGGAATTGCTAATTCTTTTGGGTTGGGTGAAATTGTGCATTTAATTGGCCATCTGGAGCCACATGTTGGGAATCTGGGGGAACTATAATACTGCATTGGTTTGCTTGGCTGAGTAGCTGTGTTTATTGCGTTGTTACTGTCCCCTTGCTGCACTACTATTGCTGCATATGAGTTAGCAATTTTTCTTGGCCAACTGGAGCCGTTTATTGAGATTTTAAATGTGTTGCAATGCTCTGATTATTTGTTCGATTTGGAGATGACATTTTGACCATCACATTGCTTGGGGATATTGCTTGAATTGCTGGATAACTCGCTGGGGTTTCTCTTGAGATTTTAGTTGAGATATTTCTGAATTGCTTGTTGATTACTTGCTGGAACTCTTTTGTTTGCTATTGGCTGGGTTACTACTGGGAGATTTTTGCTTTGTCAATTACTGGTTTCTATACTTGTTGGATTTTCTGTTGCCTTGAACTTACTTTGGGGGAAATGGTGAGACCGAAATCCTCCTCTAGGTCTAGGACCTTTCAGTCTCAACCCCCTCCACAAGCCTCTATTCCTGTCAACTCACCTACCAACCTACCCTCCTCTTCTAGTGTTCGAACCCGTTTGGGTAGGGATAGGGGTGCTCAGGTAGATGCACCTGTTCACTTTGGGGGGCACTTAACATTTACCAGACCCGCCGATCGGCAGAGATACGCTAAGGTCTGCGAGAGGCGTATAATATCCTGTAAGTCTTGTCATAGACTCTCTCTAACTGCCCTGGGTATACGGGAGGAGGTTGAGCAAATGTTCACAGCCATTGGGTGGCGCCCATATTTCCATATTTCTTGTCCCGCTTTTGTTGAGCTGATCCGGGAGTTTTACTTCACCTTTGAGTTCGAATTACCTACGAGATACACGGGTGAAACACCGAATGTCATTCATTTCCGGCTCATGGGTCGAGAATTCAATTTCTCCATTACTCAATTCAATCTGGCATTTGGGTTTATCACTAGAGAGTATGCTGAGACTAGGGAATATGCGGAGAGTGCCTGTGACTACGTAGAGCCTTTCCTCTCCCACTACCATGATGTATGGGAGGACATGTCCGTCGATAGGCAACGCTACGATCCTTCCCGGTCCAGGAGCTCCTTTCTTAAGGACCCTAGCGCCCGCTATGTTCAGCGATTCTTAGCTTATAGCTACTCGGGGCGCAAGGACAGCTCCGGTATACTCTCTCGGCCCGAATTCTTCTTTCTCTGGAGTATGAAGAACAATATCAAGGTGAACTTGGGATGTTGGTTGGCCGCACAGTTCAAGACGGTCTTGACCAAGAAGAACAAACCACTGATCCTTGAGTCCTACATCACTCACTTGGCGACCCAGTTGGGAGTTCTTAACCTGGATGACCACGACCTCCATTTGGCATTTGAGATGGAGCACTTGGACGTAGTTTGCTTAGAGAAAATGGGGGTCGTCGAGCGTCTGCCAGATGGTTTTCACCAGTTTACCCGTCCGGGACCACCTCGAGCCCCGGGTGCACACCATTCGGCCCGGGCAGGGCCATCTTCATTCCCTGGGTCGGCCGCGGACACTGCTGGGCCGTCTACCTCTACTTCTGCGCCACCTCCACCACCTGGGACCGATGATTGGCAGCATCTCAGGGAGCAGGTTCAGGATTTGCAGGCCCGAATGACCAACGTCGACGCCAATGTTGCCGGAATGGCACAGAATTTGGCGCAGTTTCTGATGCATACAGGCTTTGCACCTCCATTTCCACCTCGCCCTCCGCTTTGACCCGATTTCAGGGACGTTTGGTTGTTTCCCCTCTCACTTTTGCTTCACTTTTGGTTTTTATTTGTCACATTGAGGACAATGTGTCCTATAGGTGTGGGGGGGATCTAAAGTTATGCTAGTGTGTTCCGTCTTTAGTAGTTTTCAGTTTTCAGCTTTTCATTTTAGTAGTTTTTAGTGTTTTTAGTTCTTGGTATTACTTTTTTTTTTAGTTTTTAGTTTTGGGTTTTAGTTTTTAGTCGTTAGTCGTTTTTATTTTCTATTTGTTCATTCTCCTTCACTCTTGTTGGTTAATGTAAAAAAAAAAAAGGGGAACAAGAAAAAGAAAAAGGGAAAGAAAAGTGAGTTTTTAGTTTTTAGTAGTTTTTCGTAGTTTTATTTTTAGTTGCTTATGTTCCGTTCTTTCTTCTTGGTGCTTGTCTTCCATGTGAATGCCAATATTGAGGTGTGGAATTATTGACTCCGAGTTTAATCTTGCCAAGTTTTTAAAATACAAAGGTATCGGGTTAATGTGGTTGGATTCGAGATGTCTCCTTGGTGAATATCGGACTGCTTAATTCTTTTGATTTCTTTGTTAATTTTTCTAGGCATTGGGAATGACTGTTGGCATTTTAATGTGAACTGGTCCAATATTGACTCCAGTTCTCTATGTTTGGCAATAATGAGGCGAGCCGCTCCTATTTTAGGTTCTTAGTGTTGATATTATGTGTTGCTGGGTTTGCTTGGCTGTGAATAATCTGGACTGTACTCCGCTATGAGTTACTACTGAGTAACCGGGGTTCGGCACCTAAAAGTGTCGTTTCTCGCGTCAAAAGGTGGTACTTTATATGAGTACGTGGTTGTATAGCGGTAGGAGCTGAGTAACCGGGCTCCTTCATCTAAAAATGTTGGAGTTCGCGTCAAAAGGCTCCGGCGGCTAGAGACTAAGTCTTCTTGGAAAAAGAACTAAACAAAAAAAAAAAAAACAAAGAAAAGAAGAAAAGAAGAAAAAAAAACAGAGAGTAAATAATAGGGAAGCTTGCTGGTTTATGGACTTGATATGGGAACTTGTGTGAATATTTGGACCATTAGCTGATAAATGCTGAGTGTCATTCCTTTTCCTTAGTTTAGTTAATTCAGAAATTAAAGGAGTCTGTGGTTTAGAGACTAACTGGGGGGATGCTTCTCGGATTTTAACTACTAGTGCCCGATATATGATTTTCTCTTGAATACCTTGGCAATTTGGTAGATTGGGCAATGACCACTATCAGTTTTTGGTGTCTGTCTACTTTTCTTATGCTTGAGGACAAGCATGGTTTAGGTGTGGGGGGAATTGATAGGTCGCAATTTATTCATTTATTTTATTATTAATTCCTCCCATTACCTGACTTGATGTGGGTTTATTTGCTGGATTCTAGTCATTTTTAGTATTTTGCAATTATTTCAGGGAGTAGAACGAAAATACGATAACAAGGGCCAAGTTTGACAGAAAAGATGTCCAAGCCACAGAGCTTATTCCAGGGATATTTTTGGCAAAGAGGATATGATGCCCATTTTGGTAATTTCCGCAAAAAAGGACGGACGGAGGGATTCTTCCTCCTGCTGGTGAGCCGCCGCAATAAGAAGGGAGAGCTCTTTGGGGGGGCTGAATTTTTAGCAGAGAATTGTTAGCTTTTGAGCTTGGAGCCTTGGACTTTTCTTTTTGACTTTTCTTAGTTTCTTTGAATCCTGCGCATGGCAGGAACAAGGAAGAATTATTTCCTTTGACTTTTCCTTTAGCTTATTGTAGCTTCTGGCTC